TATATATGTTAATAGAATTGTACTTATAGTTATTATTACTATTATTGTAGCAGTAATGATAATATAATGTTACAATACATAATGTGCTCTCTAAAACTACTTTTAGAATGAATCTCACTCTGAAGAATGAAATCTCACTCTTAAAGATTGAAAAAATTGACTACTCTTTTTCAAGATTGGCTCTTTAGACTAAGATTCTTCAAAGAATTTACAGAGTAATGTTACTATATTATAATACAGATATGAACTTTTCTCTTACAATGCTGACGATGTGTGACATATTGTGACATATTTCGAAACTCGCATGCCCGTTTGCCCCCTCAAACTTCTTCACTCTAATAACAAGCCACAGTCTTGTTACTCTGCATCGATTGCTCATATATATAGTAATATTCCAACTTGTATATTAATAGTGTTCACTTCTCCATAAGTACGCGTTAAATTGTAACCAGTTTGCGGAACTGTAAGCCACACTATAAGGCCGCGATGAATGATGACTGCAGCGGGAAGATGTCAGAGCAAAACTTTACACGTATAATTGTCTTTGCAAAATGCTATAAAAATCTTAGACTTAATTTTAATGACAAATTCTTTGACAGAAGACATCAAATTTCAATTAGAAAAACTTTCAAAGGAGATATAATTTTTAAAATATCATTTACCAATATTTTCTTGCGGTACTTTTAATCACAGGAAAAAAAGATTTATAAAAATTCATTGATTTAACAAATCTACAACCTTATATGAACCAGTTTTTTATGTTAAAAAAAACAAAGTTGTATAACTAAATGTAATTAGCAAAATATGATTATTTCTAAGTACTATAAAACACAGTAAATTTGTTAATGCAGTAAAGGTAACTTTCTATGAAATCCAATATCCTAAATTTTTAACAAAATTAACTATGACACGTATTTTTGCTGCAGTAAGGAAGAAAACATGTCACATTAGCAATTTTCATTGTAATAAAGAATTGATTAAATTCTTATACTAATAATTGCTTACAAACATAATTCCTTTGTTGAACTATCAAATTTTGGTTATAAATATTGAACCCGTTCAGCAAGCTATAATTTTGCTGAACTACCCAATCTATTTTTTCTGTGATTGCTTCAGAAACTGCGACGATGACAGATAAAAAATATGCTTCTAGGCTTTGCAAAATAAAAATTTGAGATACGATCTCATTGTTCCTTATCTACAGACATTCGATGGAATGTCACCTTGGTGAAATGGAGCGTAAAATACAAACGTATTTTAAATATTTCTTAACGTCTCATGCACGTGTAATGTGAGCGGACTTATTTCCATTTCATGCGATAAATACGAAAATTTTTAGAACGTTTTGAAAATCAATATTCTATCTGTGCTACATTTCGCCTTTTTGACAAATGTGCATGCAATGAGTGTTTCGCAAAAATATATATTTCTCCCATACAACAAACAATAAACTAAATTAATAAAATGCTTATTTCATGGAAAGAATTTTATTTCGGTAGTATTTAAAAGATAAATCAAAAAATTAATTTTAGTTTTAATAAAATGCAATAATTTTACTCTTTTCATCTGAAATAATAATCGATGAAAATTTATTAATGATTAAGTATCTTTTATATTTCTTCTGTATATTTCTTCTTTATATTTCTTTAGAAAGAATAACGGAAAATGGATCGGAAAATGGAAATGAATAAAAAATAGGAAAGAAATAAAAAGAATCCTATTCGGTTGAAGTGAAATTTAATACTTAATAATACTTTTATGTAAATTTTCAAATAGAATTTTTAATTACACATTAATTTAATTTATCACATTAAATTGCACATTAATTTGATTTATCGGACGTAATTTATTGACGCGATCATAAATTGAAGCTGGAAAGTGGAAATATATCACATTGATCGTCAATCCAATGATATTATCATTTTAAATAATCATTTTAAAATATCGTAAAAAGTTTTTTAAAATCCTTATCATCATTATTAAATTAACAATGTGAATTGTAATATTATTTTCAGTTTTAGCTTATAATTTGAAATGGAAGATAAATTGAATCAGCGCGCAGTTTATAGAACTCGGGAATGTATCTAAAAATTTAAAAACATAAAAAAATGTATTATAAATTTCAATAAATAATTGTTGAATAGTATAACATTTATTTAAGGAAAGTAAATATTTGTTAAATAAATAATATAACAGTTAAATCAAATTAATGGTTTTTGTACCAAATAAATATATGTTTACATTTATTAAATATTTATTCAACTCAAAAACAAATATTTATTAAAATTTAGCTCTCAATATAGAAATATTATTAAGCACAAAGATTCGCTTCCATTGAATGTGTGTAAAATTTTTTTCCTTTAGAAAGATCGTGCTTTTCCAAGCTGAATTGGTATTAATTTTTAATTTATGCCTTTTGTTGACTTTTCCGCTGCATATAAAGTCGACAGCGGTAAAATTTATGAGTGTAATTAAAGCTCTCATGGTGCAGTTGCAACATCAAAACAAAACGGCGACTAAGAAGTTCCATCTGACGATTCTGTTCTACTTCAAGCGACCGTATTAATAATCTTCCTCTGCGCGCGTCGCGAAAGTAAACATCTTTTGATGGACGAACTGCGGCGCGAATAAATCTCGCGCTAATCCCGTGTTAATGAAAAGGTCGGTTATCAAATGTACAGAATGTAGGTCAGGCTCTGATTCCGTGAGGTAAAACTAATATTATAATACTATTAATATTATAGTATTAATATTATATTATTAATATTATAATATATTATTATCGCGATACTTATCAAGGATGTCGTGGCAATTTTGAAGATTAATTGCGACGTCCAGATCTCATAATAAGGGATTTCTCGTTATGTATTCGCGAGATGTATCGAAATATTAAAAAAAATTGACATTGAAAATATCATAAAATAGGATAACTTTAGCTGAAATAATATCCAGGTATGCATATCAAAATTAGGAC